TCATCTCCAGATTCAGCATTCCTAGAATTACAGAACTGTATAGCACAGGAGGAAGCCACTGAATTTGTGACTCTCTGAAAGTGTTGTTCATTTAGCTCCATTCACCTGCTTCTTCCTCTTACTGTTTTAATAGTACTTGTATGTCATTTCTGTGTATAAAAAAAGCTTAACTTCTTGTTTCGTTCTTTTGTGAATTATGCCTTCAAGTATCTGAAGTTCTCCAGGCAAATCACCAACTTTGGACACCTCTATCAGACCTCCTTGCAATCTTTCTATGCTGTACAACTCTGTTCTCATGAAAAGATCCCTTGTTTCTCCAACCTTTTAACTCTAGCATCATCTTAGTGACATTTTTCTCTCTCCTTAGCTTTGAAATGCCTCCTAAAGTAAAGTACTTAAAATGGAGACCTAAGCATTATTCTGCCTAGGTTTAAAATAACAAAGTTTAAACCTTGGCTCGGTGGAGGTGCACTCAGCTCTAAATTAGAAAGCTTGAGCCTCACTCCAGAAATTTTAGCACAATTTAGGTTAATATCCCAATACAAAAGGAGGTGCTTTTCTGTGAATGAAACATTAATCTGAAGCCTCAACTGTCCTCTGTGGTATACATAAAATTTCTGTTGGTCAATTTGAAGAGGACTGTGGCTATTGTCTCCTAGCCCTGGCTAATATTGGTCATGTAATTAGCGTCACTTAAAAAAAAAAGAGATCAGCTATTATTGCATTACTGTCAATGGGATGTTCCTGTGTGCACATTGTTTTCCATAGTCTGAAGTGAGAAAGGTACCACAGAAATGGACATTTCTTGCTTGCTTTCAGAAGTGCCTAAATCGAAACAATGGTTAATACAACAGGTCTAATGGCTGAGCCAGAATCCTTAGTGAGCAGTTAAGACATACATGAAGGCTACTAGTTTGTGTAAATTGATCTAATTAGTACCAACACCTCAACAACGCTACACTGGGGACAACTGACTTAATGCTTCAGATGCCAGTTGTTATCTCGTGGCTGCAAGTGCAATCTGTGGATTTTGATTAAGTCAGGATGAACTTGGCTTTGTTTACAGTCTTCCATGGCTCACATTTGGACACATACGGGAATAATAAACATTGAATCTTTTGAAGAAACAACAGTGCTTTGGAACTGCATACCCCTACAAGAAGCCAACATCTTGCGATAAAGCCAGTCAAAAAATGTACAACAAATACTAAATTCAGAAAGGACAGAAAGGGGTTAACAAAAGCATTTTTTGGGATATATTACAATTCACCGATCATAAATCTGGCAGTTAAATGCTCCATTATCTGAGCTATTATCTGACATAGACACAACATGGTAACATCCAAAAGCTATCAATTACTCTGAAGAAAGTCTGTATCATCCCTTGCACTACCTTATTACCTATGCTCCAGTGATATGTCAAACAAACCTGTTCAGCTGTTAAGTGCACACAGTGGTGCTGTTAAAAGCTGGTAGTGAACTCCTTCCATTATGATTATGACCATGAAATATGACAATAAAATGACATGTGCTGGGATATCAAAAGCCTGCTGCCTGCTGAGCTGAACTCTTGTTTATAACTGTTCAAAGAAACATATCTCTGGAAAATGTTTACAAAAGAAATCACTCAGATCTGTAAAGGCCCATCTCTCACTCCTCTCTCCGGCTTTAGCCAGAATGAATGCTGCCATTTACTCCTCACTAAACGGGCAATTGGGAAACAGAAACATCTGCTTGTTTCCCTGAGACTTTTGTTCTCTTTCACGAACGAATTAAAGTACGACAAACGATCCGTAATTAAATTATCGCATGCATGAGGTGATCTGTGAGTGGTGCAGTCATCTTGAAATTATCAGTCCCAGCACATTTTTAAGATGGCTTCAGACTATTTAAGTAGAGGATGAAATATGGAAAATTCGAATTGCCTCAGAGGTTGCAAGCTGTTTATGCTCAATGCTTGGGTTGTTACAGAACACCAGTAGATTACCGAAAACCACCAGGGTTACAGTCGAATGGCACCATCTCTAAAACTGAATAACTTAATAGTACATTGCACTATTAAGGACATTGGAAAACTGCAAAAACTTTTTTTTTTTTTATACATATAAAGATGAGTGCGGACCTTGTTCTTGAATGGTGATCCCACAGTGGTGTTAAGTAGTAACTTCCAGGATATTTATCCAGAAAGAAGTAATTGTAATAAATGTTCAAGTTAAGAATGATATGCAACTTGCAGGGGAATTGGTGATTCCATGCTTTTAATGCTGTTATCCTTCTAACTTGAATCTGTCCAACAGCTGGCAAGAAGGCCGGACTGTGGCCTGTCAATGTGTCCTGTGCGACCCACGATGCGGAAACTAAGTATAGAAAGGATTACTGGAACATTCTGCAAGCTGCTGCCCAATCAGATGTCATTTTAGTCCCACGGTTGCTGCCAATGACTCATTCATGACCCCATAACCAACAAATGCAGGAGAGAAATTATTTCTGAGTAGAAAAGCAGTATGCTTTGTGCATGCGAATTGTTTCATCCAGCCTGAGGCCTGTGCACTGAGGGCAGTGACAAGTGTGCTCAAATGTTATGGAGAGAGTGAGTGTATGGGATGAGATATCTGCCAAGCAGTGACAGGGGACAGCATGCCTGAATCAGGCCTTGGAATAAAGGCTTCCAAGTCATGGAGCTAGTTGGAGTCAGGTCGATGAAGCTCCTTTCTTCAAACAAAGGCCCTGTATGAATGGAACTGCAATGAAGATGCTGGAGTGGGAAGCCTAGGCATGGGATGGGACAAATCTGAGTTACTGTGTGTGCATATGAAAGAAAAAGAGAGACAGAGAGAGGTTGAGGGGTGTGTGCGCGCGTGTGTGTGTGTGCGTGCGTGTGGTGCAAGTGGTGAGTGTATTGGTGGGGATGTTGTGTGGGAGAGGAGCATAAGTATATGGGAATGAGGGGTGACTGTAGGGGGTGATGAGAATGGGAAGGGTGTGAGCGAAGGACAGCAGAGTGAGTGAGGGAGAGAAGGGTGAGTGAAGGAGATGGAAGTGAGTCAGTGGGGTGAGACAGTGGGAGAAGTGAGCATGAGGGAGTGTGTGTGCTTGTGAGGGAGAGAGTTTGTGAACCTAAGTTGAGTGAATCAAACGTTTACCCACCCTTCTCCTTGGCTCTCCCCATGGCCCAAAGGGAGGTGAGGAAGAAAAGCAAGGCAAAACAACAACAGATTTCTGACCCCACTTTTGTGTGAATTCCACCGAGACCAGCTCAGAGTGTGCAACACCAGAGGTGACGCAAGATTAGTCAAGTTAGTTAAGTAAAACCCAACTCCTTAGCCCCACCAACTTCTGTGGACTTGCATCTAGTTTGTCTGTCTGTGTAGCTCTGCTTCTCAACTGAAAGGGCAAAAGTGGTTTAATTAGCTATTTCTACTTCTGAGCACTTTTTAATGGCCATTTTTATTAATTGATCATTTATTTAAGTTCTTGATTTATTTCAATGGAATGATCTTTGAATTGTGTGGTTACTGTTGTGTGAAACCTAATGTTTCTGAAAATTGCTCAGACTCCTGGAGTGACAGAAAAATTTAAATGTAGGGCCCCTGTGCTGAAAGGTTGGACAAGCTTGTTCTAACTGATGGAGGTCACCAGGATGTGGCACACTGACAAATTAACCTTGGTGAGTCACTGCAGTGTAGCCAACAAACCGTGCACGATACAGTATTGCAAGGTGTGGATGTTGTGTATTTTTAGACATCAGCCATTTTCCGCTTTGATGCTGCTTCATCTGGGTACTTTGATCTAATGTTTCCCACTGAAATGATCTTTTTCATTAAGCACGGGCTGTTTTCCAACAAAGTATTTTTCGATTGAAGAAAAAGGTTTGCATTTATCACATGATAGGAAGGCTGCGATTTCACGAGAGAGAGTGCAGAGGATGTTGCCTGGGCTGGCAAGTTTCAACAGTGAAGAGAGACTAGATAGGCTGGGCTTGTTTTCCATAGAGCACAGAAGGCTGAGAGGATCCTAACTGAGGAGTACAAAATTATGCGGGGCTTAGATACGGCAGATAGGGAGCATTTTTTCCCTTTTGTAGAGGAGTCAACAACAAAGGCACAGTTTTTAGGTAGGGAAGTTTAGAAGGGATTTAAGGAAATATTTTTTCACCCAGAGGATTGTGGGTATATGCAATTCACTGCCTAAAAGGATGGTAGAGGCAGGAACCTAGAAGATATTTAAGAATTATTTAGATGAGCACTTGAAATGTCGTAGTATGTAAGGCTGCTTGCTAAGTGTTGGAAAAATCAGATTAAACAGATAGATGCTTAATGCCAAGCATGGACGTAATGGGGCCAAATAACCTTCTCCATGCTGTATAAACTCTAAGGCTCTTATCTACTGCTTTTCTAGCAGATAGGCTGAAAATTGATTCCAGATTCCAATGTGCCTATAGTTTTGGAGTGACCAGATCAGTTTCTGGTTTGTACAAGTATCTCACATTTGGAAGGCCCACCTGACAGATTTGTTCTACCATATCAATGGTATTTGGGCAAAGCCAGCTGAAGAGCAAACACCACTAAGAGAGATGAGTTAACAACTTCTAGACATCATTTATGTGAGTTTAACGGTCTTCTCCTGACCTTCAAAATCCTCTTTACAGTCTTGACATTTGACAAGGCCTTTATACATTTTCTTTAACTCTTCCTCCTACTGGACATCTATTTGCTCCCTAACATTGACACGTTTATTGTATTAAAGGTGAGACATTAAATATAAACTAATGATTTTGTAATGAGTCGGTAGGTCAGCAAGGATAACTAAACATTTCGGATTTGATCTGTGATGTGCACTGATTTAATGGATCTAAACTAATTCAGTAGAGTTGGTGGATTTTACCTCCGCACCTAGCTCCTTACCTCATTCTGTGCTAGGTCTGAGAGTGTGGGTTGTCAGTACCAAGGCAACACCAAATGAAATGGCCTAAATATAAAAAGAAATGAATAAATACATACCTTGTGTTTCACCTGCTCTTACTACTTCTACTTCAGAATCTGCTTTCTCTTCACAGGATGTGGATGAATGAAGAGCAATGAATGCTGGCAACCAACACTGGTTACTGCTATTGTTCTTCAATTCTTCAGTGACGATAGAAAGGTTAGCTTCTGTCTCTGAGGATACTTGCTTCACAGTCTTCTCCATTTCTCTACCAAAGATTGAAAGAATCATGCTTATTTTTCTTTTATAAAATCCAGTTACCCTATATGCAAAATTAGTCAATTTAATTGGAAATATAATACTTTTTGGGATGCTGCTCAAATGCAACTTTTTGCCAAGTGCAATATACCTTATGATTCGAATCAGTTGCAAGCCTATTAACAACTGCAGAATTCATGCCAATTATCTTTGATCAAAATAATAGTAGCAGGAGTTAAACCATGTTAAATATGCAACTAGATTGGGAAAGTGAGTCTTTATATCGAGCAGAATTTCATTGGCTAGAATTAAGTATGTTACGATTCTGTTACATTTAAAGAAGAAAGTCACACACCCAGTAATTCACTGACAGAATTGCTCTATAAGATGCCATGCTTTTAAGTAAAAACAAACTTTACTGCATATAAAAACAAATTAAACAAAGCAAATACCATTAACTTTTTTTATGCATTTATGAGATGTGGGTGTTTAGAAGTCAACCATGTTGCTATGGGTCTGGAGTCACATATAGGCCAAACCAGGCAAGGATGGCAGATTCCCATCGCTAAACGCCAGTGGTAAATCAGATGGACTTTAACAGCCATTGACAGTGTTGCATGGTTGCAACCATTCCAATTACTTTTCAAAAAATTAAATTCAAAATTTACTATCAGCAATGGTGGCATTTGAACCGTTGTCCTCAGAACATTAGAGCCTAGGGTTCTGCATTACTGGTCCAGTGACATGATCACTATGCCACCACCTTCCCACAGAGTCATACAGCATAGAAACAGGCCTATCGGCCTACCATGTCAATGCGCCAACAAACACTGAACGACACTAATCCCATTTACCTGCACTTGGTCCGAAGGCTACTATGTCCCTGTATTTTAAGTGCTCATCTAGATGCTTCTTTAATGTTGCCTACACCACCCTCTCAGGCCTCATGTTCCATATTTCTACCAGCCTCTGGGTGAAAATACTTTTTCTCAGATCTCCTCTAAGCCATTTACTCCTCACCTTAAACTTATGCCCTCTGGTCTTAGACACCCATGTAACACTACAATTTATAAAGACATGCTATAAACTCGGGTCTACTTTCTATTTGCCTCCAAAGAGTTCCTTTGTGTAACGTTGAAGGTTTATTCTCTTTTCCTGGGACCAACTTGAAAGGTATGTCATCACTCTCTGGAATTCATTCTGATTTCTCTCCAGTGCTCCACTTATTCACCAAGGTTCAAGATTTCATGGCATTCCTTCAATCAGCTTTTGGCTAAGCAACCCTCCAGTTTCTTTACTACCCTTATGACTCTGGATTCCAAACCCAGAGGTGTAGGCCATCCTGCAACTCCTGCACAAGAGCTTATCACTCATCAGAAAACATCCAACAGCCCACTGCTATGGTTTCAAACTACACAAAGCTGATTACTTCTGTAAGTTGAATTGCAACTAAGTCAATTGCCTTTTACTAAAAGGATTATAGTTGACTTCTTCCTTTAGCTTCTAGTCATTTTCCCTTTCCCTTTTAATGAATATTGGCACCCAACTGTAGGCACCATAGATGACAGATTCAATATTAACTGTGTTTCAGGTGCGGGTGTTGCTTTGTCTCTTATTTCCAAGTAAGTATAAAAGACTCAAAGTTGACATCAAATTTTAGATGCTTTTCCAAAAGCATCAAAACATTAACCAGTCTTGCAGCTGATTACGCTCTACCAGAATTTACAAAGACAAACTCATAGTAAAGCATCTCACTAAGGTCCACACATCTCCATGGTAATGGGACACAAGGCCTGTCCCCAGGTTGAAACACAAATGAATTACCTTTTAATCTAAAGCATTCCTTAGTTCTTGGAAGCCACGTGAATTACTTACATCTTTACTGGAATAACTGCAGACAGAAGAGGAAAATAATATGGGAAAATGCATTTTGGCATTTTTCTGCCTTATCCACATAATGCTTGATCCCTTTACCGATTCAAAAGGTAGGTCTGCAGGTACAACAAGTAATTAGGAAGGCAAATGGAATTTTGTCCTTCATTACTAAAGGGATTGAAATAAAAAGCAGACAGGTTATGTTGCAGCTGTACAAGGTGCTGGTGAGGCCACACCTGGAGTACTGTGTGCAGTTTTGGTCTCCTTACTTGAGAAAGGATGTACTGGCACTGGAGGGGGTGCAAAGGAGGTTCACTAGGTTGATTCCGGAGTTGAGGGGGTTGGCTTATGAGGAGAGACTGAGTAGATTGGGATTATATTCATTGGAATTCAGAATATTGAGGGGGGATCTTATAGAAACATATAAAATTATGAAGGGAATAGATAAGATAGAAGTAGAGAGAATGTTTCCACTGGCCGGTGAAGCTAGGACAAGAGGGCATAGCCTCAAGATTAGAGGGAGCAGATTTAGGACTGAACTCAGAAGGAATTTCTTCACCCAGAGGGTTGTTAATCTGTGGAATTCCTTGCCCAGTGAAGTAGTTGACGCTACTTCAGTAAATGTTTTTTAAAAAAAGGTAGATTTTTTTTGAACAATAAAGGAGTTAAGGGATACGGTGAGAACGCGGGTAAGTGGATCTGAGTCCACGAAAGGATCAGCCATGATTTTATTGAATGGCAGAGCAGGCTCGAAGGGCCAGACGGCCTACTCCTGCTCCTAGTTCTTATGTTCTTATGTCCTAAAATCTGTTTAGCTCAGCCTTGAAGACATTTAACAATCCTCAACAGCTCTCTGTGTAGAGAATTACACAGATTTATTACCCTCAGAAAGAAGAAATTCTTCATATCTGCCTTAAATGTCTTAAACTCCTTACACTGAGCCATTCAGCACCCGACCTCATTATCGTCTTGCTTTAAATGTAGACAAAACTGCAAAATTCCAGAGGTGAGGTTTAGAGTGGCTATCCCTGACAACAAGGCTGTATTTAACAGTGTGTGACATCTAGGAGCTCTAACAAAACCAGAATCAATCGGGGAAAACTCTCAGCTGGTTGGATTCATACCTAGCACAAAGGAAGATGGTTTTATTTGTTGGAGGTCAGTCACCACAATTCCATGAAATCTCTTCAGGAGTCCCTCAGGGTGGCTGTTATTTCTGTTACGGAAGGTACCTGCTTCATCAATGATGTTCCCTCCATCTTAAAGGCAGAAGAGGGAATGTTTGCAGATGATTGCACAATGTTCAGCACTAATCATGATTCCTCAGATACTGAATAAGTCCATGCCTAAATGCAGCAAGACCTGTAAAATATCCAGGCCTGGGTTGACAAGTGACAACATTTATGCCACACAACTGCTGGACGACAATGTTCTCCAACAAGACAGAATCTAACCAGTGACCATTCAATGGTACTATAACCACTAAATTCCCCATTGTATTGGTTTTTTTTAAACAACTGACCATAAATTGAACTGGACTAGCCATATAAGTACTGAGGCTATAAAGCAGGTCTGAGGCTAGGAATCCTGCAGTGTATAACTCATCACCAGACCCCATAAAGCCTCTTCACCATTGTAAGACGCAAGTCAGAAGTGTGATGAAACACTCCCCACTTGCCTGGATGACTGCAGCTCCAACCACACCCAAGAAGTTTGATACCATTCAGGACAAAATAGATGCTAACTGCAAAGACAAACCGTTCATTGCAAGAGGATTTGAGTTCAGAAGTAGGGATGGCCTACTTCAGTTATACAGGGCTTCAGTGAGATTGTACCAGGAGTATTACGAGCAGTTTTATTCTCCCCACCTGAGAGAGGATGTACATGCCACAAAGGGAGTACAGCGAAGGTTCACCAGGATGATACTAGGGAAGGCAGGATTGTTTTACGAGCAGAAATTGAGAAGAGATTGGCTAAGCCTCATTTGCTAGAGTTTAAAAGAATGAGGGGTGTCTGCTTGAAACATACAAAATTCTAGCAGGGCTAGACAGACTAAATGAAAGGAGGATGTTTCCCACAGGTGGGGAGTCTAGAACCAAGCGTCACAGTCTCCGGATATGTGTTAGACTATTTAGAATTGAGATGAGAAAGCATTTCTTCACTCGGAGCGGTCAATCTGTGGAATTTGTGACCACAGAAGAATCTGGAGGCCAGGTTAATGAGCATATTTAAGAAACAGATTGATAGGTTTTTAGATATTAAAGGCATTAAGGGATATGGAGCAAAAGCAGAAATATAACTTCAGCTGTTATAGAGAATCAGCCATAATTCTTTTGAATGGCGAAGGAGGATCAAACTGTCAAATGGCCTACTCCTGATCATAGTTTCTATTGGCACCATATCCACAATGTTCTACCAACAATGCTCAGTAGCAGCAGTATGAACTATCTACAAAATATACTGCAGAGATTTACCAAGACTCCTTAGAAAGCACCTTCCAAATCCATGACCATTACCATCAAGAAGGTCAAGGGTGGCAGAAACATAGAAACACCACCAGCTGCAATTTTCCCTCCAGCCACTCACCATCCTGACTTTGAAATATATTGCTGTTCCTTCAGTGTTATTGGGTCAAAATCCTGGACCTCTGTTCCAACAGCATTGTGGGTGTACCTATACAAAATGGACTGCAATGGTTCAAGATGGCACATACTCAAGACCATCTGGGAATGGGCAATAAATGCTGGCCTAGTCAGCCACACCCACATTGTATGAATGAATAAAAAAAATTACAATCTTACTAGTGCTATAAATCTGAATAATACAGTCACTAATAGGACCTAAGTCCCCAACCAATCAATAAAATACTTTCTTATGGGAGCACAGATTTAGTTTGCCGATCTGGCAAAGCTGCAACTGTTAGACTTGCCTGTCCTATTGCTGCTGCCCTAATGGCAAGTGTTCTGGCCCAATCTATCCTTGTACAAACCTTACACTGATGGTTAATGAAAGGCCATCCAACCAGCTTACAGTTTTCCTGTCATTTCATTGTACACAGTTGCTCACAAAATTCTGTCTCGGGGCCCTATTCTTGCCTACGCGTCTGGGTGTTGTTGACTGCCCATCTCAGGGTCCTCCTCTTGTCTACTTGTCTAGATGCTGCTGATTACCTGTCTTGGGGTGCACTGCATCTCTGCTCTCTCCATGTCATGGTTCAGATTCAGAATTTAGTGGGTGGAGGAGATTCACAAGTGTAAACTGGTTTAATTTTTTTTCATGTGTTTTTAGCAACATTACCTAGTTTTTGAAGAGAAATCTTAAAATTTATAATGCAGATATCCAGAAAATCATTTTATAAGCAATTTTGGGCCAGCAACTGGGAATGACCTCCGATCACTCACTTCTGATGGTCAAGTGAGAGTTACTATTGATCAGAAATTATACTAGAAGAGCCATTTAAAATACTTAAATATTAAAAATATTTAAAATAAGTTACAAGAACAGGTCAAAAGCTAGGCATTCGATGGCATGCAACTCAACTTCCAACTCCCCATACAGACAGAATAAAATACTTTATGACTATTCATTTTTTATCTCAATTCCCAGTGGCAATCAATCTATCTTACCTTTCGTTGTCATCCATGAGTTTAACTTGCTTTAAAGCTGCGCCCTCCTCTTCCACTCCATCCTGACTTGTATCAGAAGCGTGTTTTCGCTTGTTACTTTTCCGCTGTAGGTGTTGCAGCTTGCACTTGGAACCCTGTGCACAGCTCCCAGTCTTGGAAAATTCAGGACAAACAAGTGTGTGCTTCTTCTTGCACTGGAGAAGAAACATTTTCTTTAAATATCAGAAATTCTTCATTTAGCATACATTTAAAATTCACTAAAGACCACGTGTGTAGTCGACAAAGAGATCCTTGAAAGGCTAAACTGCCTCACTAAATGAATAGACCCAAGTACAATAGGTGAAAGCACACAGTAATCAGCTCCATCCCTGCTCCATACAACCCAAACTTTAGTTATTTCTATATCACTTTGGAGTAATTATCCCAGCAAGAACACAACATCAAGAATATAGGGCAATTTAGAGATGTCAATATAAGGGTTTGAAAAGAGGAAGCCCATGTGCAAAGAGAGATGGATACAATGAAGTCTACTCTATGAATACTTCAGTCTTAGGAATCGATATTGGAGGCAAACAGGGATCATTGATCTGAGAGTTGATAATAAATTAGAGAGATAGATACTTTTGCGTCTTTGCAATTCTAAAAGCGGCTCAGGAGCAGAGAGACGGGTATCTATGTGCACAGATCAGTGAAGATGGCAGGACAGGTGGAGAGAACAGTTAATAAAGCATGCAGTGTTATCAGCTTTATTAATAGAGGCTTAGAGCACAAGAGCAAGGGAGTGATGTTGAACTAATGTAAGACACTTCTTAGACCACAGCTGGATTATTATGTACCACTGTGGATACCACATTATGGGAAAGGTATGAATGTACTGGAGCGAGTGCAGAAGTGACTTAGTCGCATAGTTCCAGGAATGAGAAACTTCAGATATACTTAATGATTGAGGAAGTTATACCAATAATGGTAAGGCCTTAGGTAGTGTTGTAGACTAGAGGGACGTGGGGGTTCACTTCTTAGAAGCTTGCATCACATATAGACAGGGTGGTTAAAAAGGCCTTTCGCACACTTGCCTTCATTGCTCAGTCCTTTGAGTAGAGGAAACGGGAAGTCATGTGGAGGTTGTACAGGACATTGGTGAGGCCTCTTTTGGAATGCATTGTCCAGTTCTGTTGCCCAGTTATAGGAAGGATATTATTAATCTGGAGAGGGTTCAGAACAGATTTACCAGGATGTTGCCAGGTATGGAAGGTTTGAGTTATAAAGAAAGCCTGGGTAGGTCGGGACTTTTTTGACTGGATCGTAGGACGTTGAGAGGCAACATTATAAAAGTTTATAAAATAATGAGGGATATAGATAGAGTTAATGGTAGTTGTCGTTTCTCTAGAATGGGGATTTCAAGACGAGGGGGCACAACCTTAAGGTGAGAAGAGAGAGATTTAAGAAAGACATGAGGAGCAAATCTTTTACACAGAGGGTGCTCGCATATGGAATGAACATCCTGAGGAAGTGGTGGATGTGGGTACAATTGAAATATTTAAAAGACATTCAGATAAGTACATGAATAGATAACATTTGGAGGGAAATGGGCCAGGAGAGGCAGGTGGAACAAGTTTAGTTTGGCATTATGTTTGGCACATCTAACAGTCTGTTTCTGTGTTGTATGATTCTATGACTCTAAGTTGGGACACTTTGTCTTAGAGAAAAAAAGGCTGCGAGGAGACTGATAGATGCTTTTAGAATCATGAGCAGTTCGGATAGAGTAGATAGAGTGAAGCTGTTCCCATTCATAAAAGGAACAAGAATGAGAGGGCGTATCTTCAAACTGATGAGCAAAAAATGCAACGGTGATGTGAGAAAAACCTTTTTCACATAATATTAATAGTATGGAATGCACTGCCTGGAAAGTGTGGCAGTGGCATTTTTCAACTGAGGCACTGAAGAGGGCAATGGATGATTATTTAGATAGAAACAGTGTGCAACAATATGGAGGGGGAAAGCAGGAGATTGGCATAAGGTAATGATGATCGTTTGAAGAGCTGGACCAAATGGACTCCTCCTAAGCTTTAATTCAGGGACTCTCCCAATGAGACAGACCACCCAGATGTGAAGTTGTGGTTTGAGTCCATTGGACTCTGTGCAAGAGAGGGCAACCAAAAAGATTTTACAAAAACTGTTTCATGGGTTGTAACTTTGGCTGGTAAGACTAGTAAAGTTGCTCAACTCTGGCAGTTAACATTGTTGAGCTCTGGACCAGGTAAATATTACATATGATTTTAAGTTTAAATAGGAGCAAGTTGAATCATATATCCAGAGTATTGACCTGAGAAGCCAGATTACAATTCAGTGACATTACTGCTATAACACTATCTCTTCTAAGAACTGATGCCCTTTCCTGTAGAGCATTGTCAGGTCAGAGTACATTAAGTAAAATAGCTTCAGTTACTCCTGCAGCTAAACCCGCACACTATCTTAATGATGTTATTCGTGATTCTGTTGAAGTTTATTCATTCTGTTGTATTCCACAAATCTAATAAAACAAGACTTGCTTCAGAATCCATTGTCATCCCAAATATTCAGTAACTGGAAATATGGAATATCACAATGGAGTCCACTACATACGAATACTGTATTGCAGTTATCAAACTTGTGCAGGATCAGTTCAGCCTATTAAAAAATAATGGACGCCTTATTTGTAATAAATCATCACACTTCCTGAACATTAAGAATCAACTACCACAGCATGAATGGCTAATTAAATGTTTTCAGTTGCACAAAAACAATGTTATGTTTTTTTTCTTTAGGCTTTACCAGTCACTTCACTTTTATAGCACACACAAAACAAGAAAAAAATGCATATCCATTAAAAATAAATAGGAAAAAGAATACATCTGACAATCAAACAGCAACAGATGTCTCGAAATACTTATAGACTTGAGGGCAAATTATTGAACTGGTTAGAAAACTCACTGAACGATAAGAGATAGAAAGTAGGGATAATGAGCAGGATCTAATTGGCAGGATATGACTTGTGTTTTCCTCACGAATCTGGGCTAGGGGCGTATACCGTTCTTTGCATTTACTAAGGACTTAGGTTACGTATCCTAATTGGTCAAGGATATGTAGTTGGAAGCATAAAATTACAAAGGGATATTGATAGCTTTGTCCATTTAGTAAAACGATGGCAAATCAACTTTGGACCTAAAAACAATGACCCAGAAGTTGTGAGGAACACAGATGGATCACCACTCTGCTCAATGTATATGTGAGCTCCATATTTCTAGCTGGGAATTCTGATCCTGGCTCCTTCAGAAATGCAGTGCATACCTAAATTCAACATGGTCCTTCATAGCGCAGTATAATTCAAATTAACTATTTTGTTAGTGTTTTGAGCCCTAAAGGAGGATTACTGGACCTGAAATGTTAACTCTGATTTCTCTCCACAGTTACTGCCAGATCTGTTGAGACTTTCCAGCAATTTCTGTTTTTGCTCCAGATTTCCAGCACCTGCAGTGTTTTGTTTTTTTTATTTTGTTAGTGTGCTGTGTTCTGAGAGCTAAACGCCTGGCAGCACAGAAAGACATGTTGACAACTACAGTGAAAGGGTAAGTATCTAAGGTAAGTGTAGAGCTGAGGAATTTGGTTAAAAAGGGTGGGTATCAGGTGGATAGAATTCTACGAAGCTGACAGAGTGGTTAAGCTAAGTTGGGGGAGACATGCGTCATAGCTGGCAAAGGAAAGTCAGGGCTGGCAAGGGGCGTGTCATGGGACTGGAGGGTTTTGATCATATGGGGAGTATATCTGGTCTGGCATTGGACTGGGGGAAATCAGGGCTGCACGGGCAATGGGTGTGAGGGGGAGGTTTAAGAATGTTCCAGCCGCAGGGGAATTGCCCATCAGGATCTTTAATTTCCCAGGCAAATCCCATTAAAGCAGCTGTCTTCATGATTCCACAGGATCCTGATGTACAACTCCAGGCTGTGCTGCACCAACGATTATCTGACCAGTAAAATATCTAGGCCAACAGATCAAATACTTTTGGAATGATGAAAAGCTAGAAATAGTGGAGGTCCCGGGATTAAGGCCTAGGAGTCAGATCCATGTATCACTAACATGTCACGAACAGGTACAGAAAATAGTTGAGAAAGGTTATTGGATTGTAGGTCGTTATGTCTACAGGGTTAACATGGCACAACTTGCCTAACTGAAATAAGATAGTTCAAAATCGACCTCACTTTCGAAATTAAAGATTCCAACTTGTATTTACTCATTCAACAGTTATACAAGACCCTGGATTATCCACACATGGAAGCTCTGAGCACACCTTAAGAGGTTCAGAAGGACTACTGCCTAGAATTATAGACTGCACAGACCTGAAGTCCTAGTGTTAAATTAGGTGACATTACACAAAATAAGGTTAAATTAACTGGAATTTAGAAAATTAAGTATAGGCAATACAGAAAGCAATAAATCCTGAAGTATGAAGGAACAGTCCAGTCAAGGTGTTGAGTTGATTATGATTAGTGGCAGCCAACGCATGATGGCAACAAACTGCGTGTCTTCAAAATAGTCAAAGGGACTACCTTGGGGGAAAAAGAATTGAATTAAATGAGAGGTCTAGATGATGAAGATAGAGAATAACAGATAGCTCCCAGTGAGTCATTTCTATTGACGAGTTTAGACTGTTTACATAGACGAATGCGGAATAATGGCCATAGTCATAGTCAGGAACATTACAACAGGTTTTGGACTGTTGCATGGCATAATCAAATTTCAGAAGTGAGATGCAAGTTTCAATATAATACAGGGTTTCAATAGTTTAAATACTTATTAGTGAATTACCGGTTAGAACCTACTCATTAAAATTAGATAATATCTTCACAGCTACCAATTTGTGGCAACTGATTTAGTCAAAATCAGTTATTACTACATATAATTTTTTCATTTTTGTTGGTACTTTTAGGATTTAACTCCATAGTTCTACAAAAATTTAAATCAGAAGCCTGGATAAAAAATCTCAAATTCAATCATTATTAGGCTAAAGACTTGAAATTACTGCCTGAATATTTTTATGAAACATAGTTCACATTATTTTTACTTGGTTTAGGGATTTTTCAACAAGTTGGCTACCGTTTTTGCATGTAGCCAACATATGGACTTTTTACAGCGGCATTGATTGCTCACGCCTCTCTAA